AACTTGCTGTGTAACTGAGCATGACCTTGAACTTCTGATTTACCTGCTTCTCGAGTGCTGGAATTACAGGATAAGCCACCCAACACACACACACACACACACACACACACACACACACACACAAACACGATCTTCCAGGTGCCCCAGCAGCATTTGTTAAAAACACTATTCTTTCTCCCACTGAATTATCTTTTTATAGTCTTGACAAAAACCACGTGACAATGTGTGAGGGTTTGTTTATTTCTGGACGCTCAGTTTCATTCTGTCCATCCAGATGGTGATTTTGACACCAGGACCACGCCGTCTTGATTACTGTAGCTTCGTAGTGATGACGTTGCTCTTCCATATGGAAACTAGAAAGCACATTCACTGCTTGCCTTGGAGGAATGGGTGACGAGCGGTTCTTAAAGTGCAGTCCCTGGACCTGCAGCATCGGCCTCAACTGGAGCAGTGGTTCTCAACCTGTGGGTTGCGACCCCACGGGGGTCTCATGTCAGATATCCTGCTTATCAGACACTTACATTGTGACTCATAACAGTAGCAAAATTGCCGTAGCGAGGAAAATCATGATATGGTTGGGGAGGGGTCACCGCGACATGGGGGACTGCATGAAAGGGTTGCAGTTAGGAAGGGTGAGAACCACTGCTCTAGACACTTGTCAGAAATGCACTTTCTCAGGCAGCGCCCCAGACTCGCCTCACTAAAAACTCTGGGCCCATGACCCAGCAGTTGACATCCTAAGAGACTCCATTCTATCAGGCTCTCAAGGGATTCTGCTGGGTGCTAAGGCCTGGAATTCACTGCGTTGCATCTGTACGATCTTGATGTCCACCGGGACAACCACAAACACATATGGTTATCGACTGAGCACTAGGGTTGCAGTCAATGCAAACACACTCAATTTCAAAGTTAATGTGGAAAGAGAATTTAAAAAAATACCTCATTCATGATTTCACATTGATTTTCACATACGTACCAGATTAAGTAAAATGCACCATTAAAATTGATTTCAGGTTCTAGGGAGATTGACTCAGCATGTAATGCAATTACCAGACAAGCACGGAGTCCTGAATTCACATCCATGGAACCCATGTGCCTGAGTTTGCAATATTCTGACCAAAGGCAACTGTGTTACAGTCCATCACTGAGGGAAGCCAGGGTAGGAACTCAAGCAGGAGCTTGAAGTAAAAACTGTGGAGGGACACTGCCTACCATAGAGACACAGGGCTTGCTGGGTCAATCTCTGGTTCACTGGTGTGTGGTGGTGAACACATATAATTCCAGCACTCAGGAGGCAGAGGCAGACAGATCTCTGTAAGTTCGAGGCCAGCCTGGCCCACAAAGAGTTCCAAGCCAGCTAGGATTCCACAGTGAGATCTTCTCTCAACAAACAAACAAAAACACCAGTGGTGGGAGTGCTTGCTGGAAAGATGGCTCAGTGGTTAAGAGCCCTGGCTACTCCAGCAGAAGACCAAGGTTTGATTCCCAGTACCTTCATAGTGGCTCCCACCTGTCTATGACTCCAATTCCTAAGGATGTGACACCTTCTTCTGGCCTCCCTCACCTGGCATGCACGTGGTACACAGACAGATGCAGGCAAAACACCCACACACATAAAATTGTTTTTAAAAAAGAAAAAAACCAACACCTCCCCCAGATCCCTGTGTGAGGTGTGCACCAGGGTCTCAGGGCACCAGTAGCTAGCTCAGTTTCCCAGACTACACTGAGAACTAAGATGGGCCGGCAGACAGGCAGTCCTTCCTAGTTTACGCTGGTTTGGAGCAGCGGCCTGGGCCATTGTTTGTATTTGACTTTGGAATTTAACTTCTCCTTGAGGGATCTACAGTCACACAGAACCTGGGCTAGCTCTCATTCTTTTTCAGACAAGGGAAAGGCACTAATGTGCTGTGCAGAGCTCAGGCTGGGGCTTCTGATTTCTGTGTGTGGAACCCGACAGGCTGTGGACCCTCCCTCCGTCCAGCTGTGCAAATCCTCCTGTAGCGGACCTGTAACCCATCTTAGTGACTGTGGAGTGAGTCCTCCAAGACCAACATTTGCAGTGGCTCAAGTACACTTCACAGTTCACAAAGCCATTTCCCACCCCTTAGTGTGTTTGAACCTACCGGCCTCCCCTTGAACCTGCTTGATGGCAAAGGACTCTACCAGAGAAGCTCAGAGCACTCAGTCTTCTGTGTAGCTGGGACCAGCCTCAGTTCTCCTGACTGACACGTTGCTTTTCTGTGTATGTGCTGTGTGGTCCAGTTCTGAGGGAGAAGGGAAGGGATGAAGGAGGAGGATGTAGAGGGCCTGGAGGAAGAGGACAATAAAGATGAGAGAAATGTACTTATTGTTTCCTGGACACCTACCATGCTGTAGGCCCTGTGTATACATCAACTGTTTAAAATTATTAATATCACATTTAGGAATTAAGAGATGGGGGCAGGATGTCACAGTGGGTAAAGAGGATCCTGCCAAACCTAATGATTTGAGTGGAAACCCTGGAACTCACATGGCGAAATGAAAGAACGGACTCCGGCAAGCTGTCCTCTGACCTCCAGACGCGTGACACGGCACGTGTATATTCCCATATACATACACAAATAAATAAGCGTAAAAAAACAAGCAAACAAGAAAGGGATGCCAGAAACCTGGATTCTGGATCTTTTGGGATGACTGCAGAGAATGTTCAGGCCTGTCAAAGCGGGGGTGGGGGGAGATGGTGTATAAGAAGATGTGAGGGAGGGTATCAATTATGCCTCCTAGTCGCCTCATGAGGTATGTCTGCTTGAAGTCCTGAAAGTCCCACTCTGTCTGTCCTGGTGCCTCAGCATTCAAGGCAGGTCAGAGGAGTCTCAAAGAAGCAGGGGTGAGACTTCCTTAAAGCAATGATCAGGGTTCTAGGACCCTAACCTCAAGACCAAGGAGGAGTGGTAGGTGTAGACCAGACAGGACAGGTGCTGGGATTAAAGGCGCGCACCCCTACACTACACTCAAATTTCTTCTTCTCTTTTTCTTGTTCTCTTCCTTCCTTATTTCCTTCCTTCCTTCCTTTCTTTTTCTTTTCTTTTCTTTTTTTGAGAGAGGGTTTCTCTGTATAATAGCCCTGGCTGTCCTGTAACTTGCTTTGTAGACCAGACTGGTCTCAAACTCAGAGATCTGCCTGCCTCTGCCTCCTGAGTGCTGGGATTAAAGGCATAGGCCACCACTACCCAGCTACACTCATGACCCTTAAAGTACTATATAAATTAGCTTTATTTAAAATTAAATTTATTTACTGTGTGTGTGTGTGTGTGTGTGTGTGTATGCATCCAAGAAAGCAGTAACTCCCAGAGTCTCTCACAGCCAAGTAGGTCCATATGACTAATTCTGGACATGAGTGTGGGCAGAGATGACTTGGCCAGACTATTTCCAGGCTTGGCCCCTAAAAGGCCTCCCTGAAGTACCACTGCTACTCCCTTGGCTTTCTCTTAATGGATGTTGAGAACCAGTGGTGGCCTGAGAGTCTGCTTACCTCACTGAATAGAAGCTAGCAGGTTTCTGGATGTCTGAGTGGGGGCCTCCCTCTTCCAGGCTGAACTGCAACCTGGCAATGGATAAGGGGTCACAGTACAGAGCAACCTGCCTTGGCAGACTGGGTCTCTGAAGTCCCCCATCTCAGCCACCCACCTGCTGGGGCCACGGCCTGTAACCCTACACACCTGTGTAGTGGTGTGCTATGGGAAGGGACAGAGTGGCCTTGGATAGGGTCTTTACTGAGAAGGAAGTCATCATGGCCCGAGAGACCAGGGCTAGCCCCCTAACATCAGTTGCACAGGTGGCCTGTGGCCCTCATAGCCATCATTCCCTCGACTCTCTTAGTTTTGCATTCTGTACCAGAGGCAGGGAGGAATGCAGGACGCCCCGGGGCTGCCCTCCACCCTCCACGCTGCTCTACTACCAGCTCCCCTGGCAGCTTCCTGTGTTGTAGGAGTTCACTCACATGTTTTTGTGGAGGAGGATTTGAAGGAGGGGTATGAGTTTTTCCCTAGAGACGCCAGAGAGACAGTTTCGTCTCTGCACAACAGGCTCGCCCAGCTCCTCATATAAGCTGTTTCTGTGGTTACCTGTCTTCTGGGATGTTTGCAGTGGGTGGGCATGGCAGGTGCGATCTGCCAGGGTATGCTGGGAGTTGAAGGAAGAGCTGCTGTGCCCTTCCCTCCCTGGCACCTAGAAGGCCAGCTGTCCCTGGTATGGGAGATGTCAACCAAGCCCCGCTCCTCACCAGGAAGCTGAAACCACACTGAATGGGAGGGAGGGAAAGACCCAAAGAGGTCCTGGCCCTCCTCGTTGTCTGTTTTTATAGGTGGAGAAGCCGAGACTGAGGGAATCTAAGGGTTTTCTTGGCAAGATGGCTGGATGAGTTGGGAGAAGTAACTACAACGGGAATCCAGGTCTTCCTACCTCTAGGCCAGGCTCTTCCCTTTAACGAGGCGCGGGAAGAGAGCTGATAGGTGCACAAGGGGACTGGCGTGGGGAGGGAGGGAGGAGGGCCTGGCAGGAGGCCCAGAAGGTGCTGGGGTGCCTAGGGCGACTCAGGCTTCTTTTCTACTTCCCTGGCCACCAGGGCCGCACTTCCTGCCAAGAACTGCGGGGGCGGGGGGCGCTGGAGTAAAGCCGGCCCCTCCGGGCGCCGCCTCTCGGTCTCTCCCACACCCGCAGGCCAGAGGCCAAGGGTGAAGGAGGTGGGACCGGTGCTCCGTCCCTCCCCAGCCCGGGAGTCCCGTGGGACTGACACCCCGCGGGGAATCTGCGAGTGGTCAGGGTGATAAGAGCCTGGGGTCGCGCACAGAGGGTCCAGCAGTGGGTGTGGCACCGGACGGAGGCGTGGTCGGGCTGCAGCCAGGGAGGGGCTAGGCCTAGGGGCGTGGTTGCGGCGGGGGGCGGGTCCTCAGGAAACTTGAGTGTCCGCCCCCGCCGTGCGCCCCGCCCCGGCCTCCGCCTCCGGGTCCCCGCCTTCCAGTCCCTTCCTTCCCGGGCTGGCGGCGGCTGCGGGTGGTGGACCTGCAGAGCGGCGGTCGCCCACACCTCACTCCCTCCTGAGCCGGCGGATCCTTTTGTCTCTCCGAGCGGCGAAAGTCGCAGGGCCGGCGCGGTGACTGCGGGCGCACAGACGCCCGCTCTCCTAGTCACTTCCTCGGCCTCAACCGCCGCCGAACTTGGGCTCGAGAAGCCGGCGGACCGCGTCCAGTGCTGGAGCCGGTAGGAAAGGGGCGACTGCGGAGCTCCGGGGCTGCGTGGAGGGAGCGTGTATGCACCAGCTCGCTGCGACCCCGCTGTGTGAGTGCGCGGGTGTGTGCGCACAGGTGCTGATGGTGCCTGTTTCTCTGCGTGGTGGACTCGCAGCTGGCCGCGGACGGTGGCGTGGCTCTAGAATGGCGTGTCCTCGTGGGGATCCGTGTGCTCGGCGGGATGTGCACTTTTCAGACTGCGTTTGTGGAATTGTGTGTCGGGATGCAGTTGCCGTTGGGGACTAGTGCCGAGAGAGTGTGGAGGGGGAGCCTCTGTGCGCAGCGTGGGGGTGGCGGGGTGGGCGTGGGCGGCCTGGTCCCGCAAACTGAGCCCCCGGTTGGTGTCGCTCGCTCGGCGCAGTGCGTAGCTCAGGAACATGATGGTACGGCTAGGACCCGGCGGGCGCAGTGCTTGCCTGGTGGGCAGCGGGCATTGATTCCCCCCTCCTCCCGCCCGGGGCAGGTCCACAGGGTCCACGTGGGACGTTGGTGAGCTTCTAAGAGGGGTGGGGACCCGCGCAGTGGCGATCAGCTCTGGGACAGTGGGAAAGACCAACCCAGCCCCAGCTTCGCCGTTACCGGTCCTCAGACCTAAACCGGACACGCCACCTTCTTGGGTTCTTGGGTCTCAGCTTGCGTCTCTATCATATTGGAACCGTCTCTCTGGAGCTGTCTTGATGGAGCGAGGACGCATTCTGTGCATTTCTTGAGCCAGAGCCTTGCACACAGTAGGTGTCCTTCACTGGATTCTCATCTCCATAACAAGAAATCTGTTTTGCCTATATTGTGGATGGCGCGCTCATTTCCTCCTTCCTGCCTCTAACTTCACAGCGGAAAGCTTGGAAATTCGAGAAAGTTTAGGCGCCTGGTTGCGTTGTTTACTTTCCGCACCTCGCGGGCTGCGTGGTGTGGCGCGGCCTTCGGGGGGTGGGGTGTGGGAGCCCGCGGTGCGCAGTGCCAGCCCAGAAAGCTCCCGCATCCGCGAAGGGTTTTGAAAGGCTGCGACTCGGTAGCCCTTTTGTTCAACAAGTGCTTGGTGGAATTCCAGTCGCTGTGTGAAAGTAGTGGTCTCCGCAGACTCGCAGTCTGGGGTTCCTGGAGCCTTCCTCCAGGCCTGGTCATTCCGGAGGCCACCCTCCTAGTCACTACCGAGTCCAGAGGAGGGTGTTAGCCAGGACTCTTAAGCCCTGTTGGACACCGCCCCCTACCCCCCAAGCCCCACCTGCCTCTGCCCCCATGCAGTCAGCCTGATGTAGGAGGTCGAGGTCTGCATGGCGCCCTTCCTTCCAGTTCCACCCCTTGATTAAACACATATATAGTATTGAAATAGTACTATAGTAGTGAATAATAGCACTGAACCCTGGTTTTTAAAAAAAAAACCGCACTCCCCCTGGATATACATACCGTTCTGAGCTGTTCACTCAGCCCAACGCACTTCAGCATTAGCTGTGCACCAGCCAGAGGGGCCCGAGGGGCTGCTGCTGGCCTGCTATGCTCCCTGATGGCTTCCCTTCTCTGCCTTGTTCTTCCCAGGACCATTCCCAGTTTAAAAACCCCTCCCGTTAGGCATGGGAGGCACAGAGCATTTTGGTGCCAGGGACTCTCAGAATGGGGACTGGGCTGGGCTGGGGATGCCTGCCACCTGCCTGCCTTTGTATGGGATGTGTTCCAGAGTCTGGCATGCTCTTTGGTGCTCTGTCAGATGCTGGAAGATCTTGCAGGCGGTGAGACACAGGAGCAGAAACCTCTGGTTTGGGTTCTTTGGTTTGTCTCCAGAGCCCTGAGGTCTTTGGGATGATGGCCATTTTGGGATGCCATAAGCTGATTTGTCATCCTGATTCGATGTCAGGGATTCACTTTAGAAAGCCACTTGTTTTGAGTCTATCAAATGATTTTATATCCTAAAGAGAAAAAGGCTTTTGATTGGAACCTGACCTCCCCCAGATCAGATTTAATAATCATTTTTAAAAACCAGTCTGGCTTTCTCAGCTCAAAAGACAGACCCGAAAGCTGTCTTGTTTTGTTTTGCTTTCCTAGTTAAAGCCAGCCTTTTGTCTCAAGCAAACCAGTATTTTGGCCTTCGGTCTATTTCTGTTTCACTTTTGAAAGTGCCTGTAATTACGGAGCTCTTGAGGTTTTATTGGATAATGTGCCAATGGGAAGGCCCAGAGGCTGTGCCTCTCCCTGTCTGGGGATGTAGTGGCACTGCCTAGCCTCAGCCTCTCCTCTGAGCCCTACTTTTACACTGTATCCTAGGTGAAACACATCTGTCAATGTGTCATGACAGGGCCAGGAGCCATGATTTTGAGAATGGAAGTCTGGAAGGCTGTTGTTGGCTTGTGGAGAAATCAGAGCAGGTGGACAGCCTGGATGAACAGGGGTTTGCCAAAACCCCAGCCATATACTTACTCAGCCAACAGTGTGCTCAGAGAGAGAGAGAGAGAGGGAGGGAGGGAGGGAGGGAGGGAGGGAGGGAGGGAGGGAGGGAGGGAGGGAGAGAGAGAGAGAGAGAGAGAGAGAGAGAGAGAGAGAGAGAGAGAGAGAGAGAGAGAGAGGGTGTTTCAGGGAATTGTTTTAGACTTTGGCTCAGTCCCTCTCTTTGACCACAAGGCTGTGAAGAATTAGAAATTCCCATGGAAGAAAAAGGAATGAATCTGGGACCCCTTGCCAGGCTAGCTCCACCCTTACCTAAAGAGACTTTCTTTTGTGAGGTGGTGGGCCTGCAGGTCTTAGCCTTTGGAGTCCAGCACTCAGGGTCCCGAGGGCTGCCTTTCACATCCAGTTCCACACAGGGTAGGCAGCAGGGTGCATTCCATGTCTTCCTCTCAAACTTCTTCTGAGACTTTGTATTGCCTGGGTGGGACTCTGGGTTTACCTACAACTCAGCAGTAATCCCAGGCCCTCCCAGGGAGCCCCAGTGTTTACTTGGGATTGAAGATTAAACGATTTGGCAACAGGGTTCTTTATCTAGGTTAGAATCGGGTTTGTATTAGGACCTGTTGCATTCCAGCAAGTCCCAAACCATGTTTGTTTGGTTTGGGAGAATGCTTTCAGTTTATGAGTTGCTGGCCCAGGCTTGATGGGGATTATGTATGCTTTTTGAGTGTTTGTCAGGATCTGATGTCACTGTGCTTGGGAAGGGAGGGCCTGGTTGGAGATAGGGTGAGCCAACACTTGCAGATTTTAATTGTGCACCACTTTGGGGCTCCCCACTCAAACCTACAGTCTTTTGGGACTTCTTTGGGGGTGTCCGTGTATCTGTAAATCTCACAGTTCTTGTGGCTAGCTCTTTTGGGGTTGGGTTCTTAATCTGTGGAGGATGTAATTACATATGGAGATACCAGGATGGGTTGAGGGGCTAATTCCTTAGTGCCTTTTGCTCAATGTAGGAGAAGAACGACATTCATTTCAAAACCGCTTTCTAGTGGGGGCAGGTTGTAATATATAGCTTCGGTAATCAATATAGTTTGACAGGTGGGCATCTCTTTGGTGCTGGTGAGCAGTGTGTGAGTCTAAAGAAATCACACACACACACACACACACACACACACACACACACACGTTAGAGGGCCCTACCTTGATCATGTTGGTTCAAATAAAAATGCATTTCCAAGGCAAAGCTTTACACCTCAGCGTCTATGAACCATGACTAACCGGACACTCCCTTCTCCCAGGCTCTCCACACTTACCCTCTCCTTCCAGCTTGAGGGCAGGAGACTGTGCTTCTTAGAGATCTCTTCTTTTACCTTAATGAGCCTCGTGCACCCCCAACACTTCTAACCTAGTTGCTCTCTTTCCTGGTACTGTGTTTGTTTCTTTGCGGTGTTTTAGGCGCAGCCTAAGCTGGCAAGCAGCCAGGAGCCAAGGCATGGAGGTACTGGTGCAGCTCTACCTGTCACCATTCCACAGTCTTCTCCAGGAAGCAGCAATGGGTCTCTGACTAGGAAATCTCAAGACTGGTAACCACACCATGGTGAGGATTCCTATGATGCCAAAGAAAGGAAGAAAGGGGGTGGGACTGTAGCTCTATCGGAGATCACTTGCCCAACAATGCATGAGGCTCTAGGCTCAACTCCCAGGACTGCCAATTAAGTTTAAAATGGAAGCAGGCCTGGGTTGGGGGTGGTGGAGGAGGGACTCAACTCGTACAGCCTCTATGGATTTTTGCTTCAATATCCTTGGGTCTTCTTTGAAATCATTCCTTGCGCTAAGTCTGCCTCAACCAAGGAAGAGTCCCTCAGTAAGAGTAGTATGGGCTGTGCACCTGCCAGATCCCCCAAACTGGTAGGTGACACACACTTATGTCACCCCCTTGGCTGCAGCCTTGGTTCCATGTTCTAGAATTTCATATGGGGTTCATGATACCCATCCCAGCTGGTCAAACTCTGTGTTAAGCCCATATATCTTCTACCTATCATGACTAGACAACCTCTCTCCTCATCTGTGAAAGCTCAGTGTCTCAGATAGGGATGAGGGCTCTTTCCTGTCCCTCATTGTACCCAGTGAATCTTCAAAGTGAATCTGAAATGCCGTCGCTTCTCCCAAGCAGAGCCACTGCCTCCCATATACGGTGCCTTCTGGTCTCACTACTGAGGATGCAGTGGGAAAATCATCAAAAAGTCTTTGGAGTTCAAGGGACCCATTTGGGAAGCCCCTGCCAAGGCTAGGAGCAAGGAGGCTTCCAGGGGAAACACCCTCTAACTGGGAGAGGAGTGGAGCATAGAGGGTCTTGGTGGTTCCTAACCTTTCTCTCTCCTCTAGAATTCCTCCAGAATTCTGCAACTACAAGATTCCTACCTCTGTAATGGTACACTGCAACTCAGCTTAGTTATGCCCATTTTAAGTGTGCAGTTTAACGGTTTCTCTGTCGACCTACGGTTACATAACCATCACCATCATCTGGTAGAGACTGCCTGCATCTTTTCTGAATGATGCCTCATCCACATGTGCTGTGTGCTGCTGGCCCAAGCT